TTGACTGAAGTGTGGCCCGCTATGGCAATGGCGGCAATGGCCATTGTGCCCTAAACTAAAACAAAGTACTGTTAGAAGCACTTTCTCTTCTCCCGCTGTCAATGTATTGGTGTGTGTGTGTGCCAGTGTCTGTGTGTCGGTGTGTGTGTACTGGTTATGGCTCGTTATATGCGTGCGTGTTACTGCGCAAAGATGCCCCATAAATTTCGCGCGTTTTCGCCTTCAATTTTTTTGCCTTGCGCTTTGTTTTTAATTTTTTTCTCGTGCTATTTTTAGTGTTATTTTTTATGACAGAATGAGAATGGCACAATTATTTGTGGTGCTGCAAGTTTTTGTGCCCGCACATGTGTGTGTGAGTGGCGATCTTTTTCTAAATTTAATGACTTTGGCAGCTCTTGACCACTAAATCAAAATGTTATTGCTCGCTCCTATTTCTTCTTGTCACCTAAATTAATTTTACGCAGTCTGATGTGGCTAGTGGTTGCAGACAGTTTTTACGTTTTGCGCGCTTTAGTAAGGGCAAAAACTCAAACTTTCAAGACTTTTTGCAGCTGATGCCAGCTAATTAGCTGAAAAGGCTTTTACCGTCGAAAGAGTAAAATGGGTGCCCGAAATAAAACTGCAGACAAAGAGAAAAGCGGAAGAAATTTCCGCTGTGAATAAATTCAAGGGGCGTGCCAGGCGAGAAAGTCATAAATTTTTTCATTAATATAGACCCACGTAGCTGTGAAGCGAGAGGAGCAAATGTTGCAGATATGTACGTTTTGCGAACACGCAATAGTGTACTGCAATGGCTTAAATATTGTGAAGTGGAACATTTCGATAATAAATAAATATTTACATTTAAATACTGCCTGCAGGTTTTTTGTTCCTAATTTTTCAGATTAAGTTGGTTTTTCCGTGAGTTCCATTTAATCAAGCCGCTGCTATAGTAATTTCCGATGGCACACTTCAATTGCATGGCATCTTCAAGCAGTCGCCGTTTTCTTTAAAATACTTTCCCTGGCCAACAAAGCCCCTAAAACAGTGAAGACAGCGGCCTATTTGCCTGCTGCTCCAGCACTTCGGCACACAGTATTTATGGCCCGGTGCTGTAGTCAAATATTATTCCACGCACTCGAACTCACGCACTCGAACTCAGGAGGAGGACATGGCAGAGGTGGCTGGATCGGTTGGAAAACGAGGCTTTTGTTTGCATATTTTTTGGCTAGCACTTAACGCGGTGGCCGAAACGCAGAGCCGACCACAATGCCCAGGTTCAACAATGCCCACCAAACTGCGGCTGAACAGTCCGGCGTATTCCCGATCCTGGCCAGAGGCTTATCCCGGGCTCTATGGCTCTCTGGTTGGCGGGTCAGTTGGACTGGCACTTTACGAGTATGTACATGCATTTTTCCATTTCCACATTTAAAACGCCGCATTTCCCTCTTTGGTTTCTGTTTTTTGCCAATTGTTAATGCTTTTGTTTTTCCCATTTCCATCGCGACGATGACGCGGCTCAGGTAGCGTTAACACTTGTTTAAAAATTTGTTATTGGATTTCTTGTGTTCGCATTGTTTATTTATTGTGGCAGTCGGCGGCGCAAGGAGTGACAAAAGGGACAGATAGTGTGGCATGGGGCAGGAAAATGGGTGCCAGAAAGCCCGGAGATGGCTGACAAGTTGGCCCCGCATAGGTCACGACTTCCCCATCTCAGTTTTTTCTATCAATTTTTTTCGCTTGCCCGGTAGCGCCTTTGTCACTTTTCATTGGGCTTATCGGATTGCGAGTAATATTCCTGGCAAATTGAATATAAATGCGCTTAAGCTGAAAAGCGCATTAACCAAATTGAATATCAGCGTCTCGTTGAGGTATCACAATTTATTTTTAATACCATATGTTTAAACAGAGCGCCCGCAAACAAAAGTTTCACTTTGATTGGCCGTGTTTAATTGGAAATATTTAAGCAATGAAAAAGTGCGAATACACAATATAATACGCATATGATTCCACTAAGCGGCTTTAAGGTAATCGACTCGAAAAATGACATGCTTGCAAAGTCCTTCAATATTAGGGTGCCTTCTTACACATTCTATATTTTCCTCGAGCTAAGTAACTTTAAAGTTTGGCAGAACTCCGTATTCCCATTTAGCAGATGTTTCCTTTCCCTGCCGTCGACAATAAAACATTTTATAATTCACCTTCCTCGTATTAGGCTAATTAACTTTCCGACAACTTCGTTTTGCTCATTTCATAATTGAAAGGACCAAACTTGTTACTTTGTCTTTGCTCACATGTGGAATAACAAGAACAAGACCTCGCTAACGTTGGCCAGCAAGTAAATTAAGCTAATTAGAAGCGCATGAAATATGGCAAAAGTTGGCATTCAAATGCCCCAAGTGCCCCTTGCCAGGTTCGTGTCCTTGTTGCCGAAACAAAATACATATTTGGGCATTAAATTTCAGGGGGTCACGTTTAACACTTCAACAACATCTCCCCCCGTTAAATACGCTGGCTGCGACAATTGCGTAAAATTGTTGAATTAGGGGCTAGCCAATGTCTGGTCTGTGTTTTGGTTTTCCGCCAGCTCCTGGCCCGTGTCCTGGGAAAACTGGGAAGCTGGGAAACTGGGACGGCGGGGCGAACATCTGCCAGCTATTTTAATAGGGAAATTCGTTTGTGCCCACAATTCGGAGACACGCGGCGGTTGGAAGATTGGCGAACTCTTACACCGGCAGCACTTAATGTAATGTAATTTAAATGCTCTCCGTTAATTATGCAGGAAATTTGCCACGGCTTTTCAAATGGTTTATATCAGTTTAAAGCACACTTTGATGTCGCGATTTACCAAGAACTTTAGTTGGCTAATTTCCGCTGGCTCTGGTTTCGGCTGGCTAATTAATGTTCGCGCACCCCAAATTCAATTAGTTACATTTTCCAAGTGTGTCTAGTACGCTGCCAAACGCGTTTATCAAAGACACTTTACACATTTTTGTTGTGTTATTTCGATTACTTTCTTTTGTCACCCTAAGCTCTCAGATTGAGACATTCCGCATTAAAAATTAAGCTAATTTCCGCAGCGCCATTAGGGAAATGTCACGACCAAATTTGGACCACTTTGATTTTGTGTGCGCATTTGATCATAACATATAATTTGATTTGCGCTGTCAAGTATGAATATTTGCTACTTTTTCAATCTTTTGAAGCGATTTTCCATGTTGCTGTAAGTCAATGGTTTTCAATCGAAAGGAGGGGTATTGTATATGTGTGGAGGAATGAAAATTCGATAAACTTTTTGCTTGATAAAGTTTTGAGTAATCCTTCAGCTGCAGCCAACGAACTTGGGTACACATAAATGTGCAAAACAAGCTAAGAATTTGGCCAAACATCAATTAATTTTTAATTGTCTCAATGCACTGTTCCCTTATTAAAAATGTTCTCCCATCAACCAAGTCCCCAAAATGCAATACAAAGGAACAGCATCCTATTATCTTGGCATAAATCAAGGATTGCTCGAATACAAAGTTCAGGTGTTGGGCTTCCGGAAAAGAGCGAAATAAGAGGAAAGCGCGGATATCTGCATTAACCAAAAGGGCATTTGGAAGCGGTGGCCAAGCCCGCTGCAGAAATTAAAAGCAAATTTCCGACACTCCAGAGGGCTTTCTCCTAACCGTTTGGCAGCTTTATGAGACGGCCCTAAAATCACGTTAATGATATTTACAGGGGCGGGGCTGCGAGTTTTGCCAGTGGAACGGCAGACTCACTTCGGCCCTTTGACCAGAGACGCTTCCGTTTCCGCCCCCTCGACCATGGTGTTAACTGTGTGAATTTCCCGGCATTTCCCGGCCAACGCAAGTCATTTGCATAACAAAGTCTGAAGAGCACGCAAACGCACACACACACACTCAGTTGGTATTTACAACATTTAAATTAGACATTAAATTTGAAAGATGGGCTGCCAGGGAACTTTTCCCATTTCTCTCTCAGGTGTTTTCTTCTTTATTTAGCCCTACGCTTTCCGCTTTTTATACCTTTCTGCCAAATTTATTTAAGCTGCAGATAATTTTTGGTCTGCTGATTTACTTATTTACTTTGCTTTTATGGCACTTAAATGACAATCCGCCCGTTTCGCTGCGTGTAATTTGGCCAGTGTCGAGTGTTTTCTTTGGGGTCGATTACGGCGATAAGCGTAATTCCTTTTTTTGCCAGAGTACGACCAGTCTATATATTAACTTATTGGCAATTACAGAAGAAGAAAGCAACTGGAGAGTCAGCAAGTTCGGCAATCGTAAATATGTTTCGGGAGTTTATGTTTCTAGTTTAGTGCGAACATAATTCAGCGTGATTCATGGGTATTGAATCGGAACTGCCATTAGGTATCGTTATTTTAGGAAACTAATTCTGTTGGTCTGCTCTTTAAAATATGTACACATTTTCTTCTCGAATTATATTCCGCTAAGCAGGGCTTTGTTTCCAAGCCAACTGTTATTTTCTGAAATATTTAGTAAATTATGCTTAGTTGGTATTATAAATTCTCAAAAGTATTAATTAGGCCGAAATTCTTAGGGCGCTACTTATGTAGGTCATTTTGGGACCCTGTGGTATTGTCTTGCAAATAATTACCAAAATCTACAGGAACAGCATTTTCTTATAAGCCAGAACCAGCTGCGGATTGGATTCAAAATATGGCCACTTATGGCCATTAGGACCAAAAGCGTAGCAAAATACAGGGGCCTACGGCGCAAATGAATTCTCATACAAAAAGTTTATCCTTTCTATCTGTTTTGGGGAAACCCCAGGCTAGCAGATGTACTGGGGAGAACTAAGGAAATCAGCACATTTGGTTTTAACGACTGTGCTTCCCAGCTTTTTTCCCTTAGCAACAAAGAATGTGCTCCGTGATGGCAAATCGTGTCCTCTGGTTGTTTTCATTTTTTGTCCAGCCAGCTAGTTATTGTTGCTCTTTGCTTTTTAATGTACATTTGTCGTCGCCGGTGGAATTGGTGGTGTGGTGGATGCAGTTTTCAGCTCTACAGAACATCACATGACGAGACGCCAACTTCCCTGTCAGGAGGCATATTTGTCTAGTGCAAAATGTTGACTCCGGATTTAGTCCAAATATAAACAGATTTGCAGCTTTTCATTGAAGACAAATAAAATATGACATTTTCTAGCGTAATACATCTAGATTCCATTTAATATGCATATCCATTCGCATTCATAAGGCAATCAATCTTCGGCTATCCTTCGCCAAGCAGCCAACTCGGCTCCTTTCTAGCCCGGATCCCTGTGTGGTGATGGCGGTGTCCTGTGAATTCAAGCAGCTGAGCAGCTCCTGAAATATGCAGACAGATGAGCCGCCAACAAGCATCACCCACGAAGGCAACAATGGCAATGCGATGATGGCAAACTGTTATTATGCAAACAAATTACATGGCGGATATTTCACTGTGAGAAAATAAACGTCTCAGTTACAGGGAAAAAATAAAGTAAAATAAGGTATTTATAGTGAAAATTCGAGAAGCTCCTTAAGTGGCTGTAGAATTCTTTACTTTAGGATCACTTTAGGATAATGGTAAAAAAACCCGTAAGCAGTAAGTACTCCAGAGGATATAACTCTCGACTTGTTTTTCCTCCAGTGTCCGAAGACTTAAGTAGACCGCAAGTAAAGCTCGCTTGCATTTCTATGCGTAGTTGAGCAGTTATTATTTGGCCATTTCGGCTGAAGCTTCGTTTATTGCCAAATGTAATTAAAATATCCAATTAGTGCAGGAAGCAATCTGCATATATGTATATGGGCCTGGTGGCCAGAGCTTTTATGAGCTCCGTTTCCTGTTGGCCACATAACTAATGACCAAGAGGACAGCCCCGAGTTCGGGCGGCAACATAAATTCCCTTTTGGGTAAAATTAATAAAAATGATTGCAGTCGCCTGTCCTCCTGCTACGCAGAATGAATGAATGGCGCATGCCAGCTGTTGGCCAAACACGCTTTTGATTGCCAACAACACCCAGGAACTACAAACCAACATTGTTGTAAGCTGGAGCCAGGCCCAAAACAAAACATCAGGAAGGAAGCAAGTGGGAAAAAATGGAACCCGTCTTTCATCAGCGCGTGCATAACAAGCAGCTCGGCTCAAACTAAAGCTGGACAGTCAGACGTCAGACAGTCATGGGGAATGGACCAAAACCATGGCAAAGAAATGGGCCAGGACGCCACCGCCATCGTCCTGTCGCTCACTTGGCTCATATGGGTTGCGATAGGGATGGGCTTGGAAAACCATTTCGGATGTCCTTGGCGTCGCTTTCCTTGTGTCATGCCACTGCAAAATGACAAACAGTTCGCGGGATGCGATGCAAAGCCAAAGCAAACGCGAGAAATAAGACAGGATGGGAAATAAATGTCATTGGACTATAAAATACCTATTCATTTTATTTCGCATGGCAAAAGTTCCCGCGATAAATTTGTTTTGACTTATGTTTACGGCTGTTTTGGTCGCTAAAATACATGAAATATGAAAAAAGAGGCGTTCAAAGTGAATTATATACTTAGAAATTAAGATAATTTAAGTGAATGTAATTATTTACATTTTCAGAGAAGGCAAGGGTTTTCTCATTTCAGTGTAATCCACATTGAAAAGAACATTCTCAGGCAACAAAAAGCTTAGGGCATCCAAAAAATTCCATTTGCAGAAGCCTGTCTCCAGTAAAGACCACTCCGTTTGACAGGCAGGGAGAAATCCTTAAACTCAGCTGCTGCTTAAAGCGCCTTTTAATCCAACATGGTGCTTAACAATGGCTTTTTCAGCCGCTCCAACCAAATCGCACCACATCGCACCACCACCCGCCAAAGCCCACTAAAGCAACCACAGTGGCTATAAGCACTTCACATCTAATCAATTATGCCATCTGCACATATCGCTTTAGCTCTTAGAAAAGCACATTGGCCAATGCCCACATAACATTTAAATATGCATGAAGACTTTAAAGCTCCGCGCCAAGGATCAGCTATTCAGCGGGAAAAATAGAGATAAAATACAGCCATACAGCCAAATGAAAATGTAAGGAAAGCAGCACGACCAGCGCGAAATAAACAAAGCAGAAGGGGAACAAAAAAGTGCAGAAAAAAGAAGGAAGCCCAAGCAGAGACAGGACACTCCAGCTGCAGAGGAATCGGGATCCGAATCGGATTCAGACTCCGGCGTAGAATCAGCAACAGAAACGGCAGCCCGGCTACGGAGAAGAATCTGAAACAGGAACCAGAGCCAACATTGCATGGCTGATGGTGCGCTAATTCCGTTAGCAATTTCACTTGGCAGTCGGGAAAGTGCGCAAAACACGAAAACAAAAATCATGTAAATTTCGGTGGGAGTCGCCTTGGGAATGCCCTTTAAATATTTGTGTGGCTTTGCAAGGGATTTAGGTTGGGGAACCAAAGGATGATCCCTACTATATGCATTGTGTTATATGATCCAAGTAAATGCCAACTACTTGCTGTATCCAAGCAAACTCTGTTCTCAGACTTTGGAAGTATTTGATTTTTAGCAATTGAAATAAGCTTAATAGCAGCACAACCTAATTCAGTTGGGGTAATAATATTTATTTGATGTGTAAGGAATAGCAATACAACCTCTTTTTCCGAGACATTTCCCCTTGGTTGAGCGAAATAAACATAATGAAGTAGTCAAATTTTGGTTATCCGGGAAATCAACTGCAAACGCACATATGCGTGCAGTTCTGGGAACAAAAACTCACTTTTCCGAGAAAACAGAGCAAACATCCGGTGTCTGACGGTAGAGAACCAAACAAATCTTACGCTGCAATGAAAAACGAGGCGAAACTGCTTAACGGCTGCCGTTTTCTGCTGCCATTCGTCCTGTCAAATGTGCAAAGGAAAAAACCCTAGGGATAACAACAAGGAAGCGGGAAGAGCGACTGAAATGGCCAAGCAAATTGTATTAGTGCGGCAGTGTGTTGGCCACATTGCAACAGATTAACGTGCTTTACTTGGCTTAAGCATTAGCAAACAAACAGAGGACGTGGGTTCGGGTCCAGTCGCGAAGGTCGAGGAGGAAGTGGGCGAACCTTTGCCCCAAAAGTGGACGCCGCACAAAAGTAACGTTAATTGCATTGAGGGCACACATATGTGGATGTGGTCCCAGCTGCCCCTGCATTGCCCTCCTTTGACATCCACAAAAAATTTTAAATAAAGGAAACCACGCACAGACTCACTTGTTTGCTTTATTTCCTCTGGCTGGTTGCTGCTTGCCGCTTGCTTGTTTCTTGTATTTATTTACATTAATTGGATTTCAATGTGTAACAAGCAGATACATCCGATATAAATTGGATACCAGAGCCGGAGAAAAGGCGTCCTCAAAGGCTCAAAGGCAAACTCAAAGGACTCAGAGAAGTTAAAGGCCGGCAGAATGGGCAATCTGAGAAAAAGTGAGGGTAACTTTTTGCCAAAGTTCAGATTCGCACGGAACGCAGATATTAATTTCACTTAAAATGCCATTAATATGTACAGCAAGGAATACGTCAAGTCAATTGATTAGTAAATATTTAGCTTACGTCTTTACTCTACAGTTTTAAAGCGGTGTGAATTGGTGGTGCAGCAGATAGCTTAAAAATCAATATAATACGTGGACCATCCACTCAATGACGGGATTAAAACTAATGGTCTAAAACAATTAAGCAGCCTCTGCAAACTGGCTAAATCACTGGGTCATTGTGGGCTTAGTAGAACGAATGATGTGGCCCTGCCAACCGTGTTAGATGGAGTGTGTGTCTTAGTGTGCGAGTGCGGGGAGGAAGGCGACAGGATCTCCTGCTAAAAGGATATGTCGGACTTACCCTAAGTACGGGGAAGCCGCAGCCAAGTGCAGTGGCGACACTAACAAATGAACCCTGTCCGGGGCCATGACAATGGACAACATGGAGGGGAATGGTGGCAAGCTCGGCATATTGAGCGTAAAACCAGGAGATTTAAAGGTACATGCACAAAAATGATACGACTTAGACATATGTCTTTCGCCCGGCTCCCTCACAATTTATGGCAGCAAGAAGGGCAGCCAGCGAACCATCATCAAACCGACCAGTGCAAGCCTTTCGCTCTCCATCCATCATGCTGGCAGCTTTTGCATAGACCAAGTCGAGTCCTTCGGCAGGAAAAGGAGCAGCCAGGAGCTGGGCTAAACGGGAGAGGCCGAGAGAAAGCCATTTCATTGTGCCAAGTGGCTGTTTATGATGTTTTTGCTTCCCGGAAGTTATCAGTGGCCCTGGCCCAGGACCACAGTCTCAGTCTTTGGACCAGGAGCACACCAAATCTACGACCGAAAGTCAACTCTGGGTGTTGCCTTAAAATGTTGTTAGCTTGACATTTTCTTGCCTCACTCCTTGCCATTTTATTGCAGGCTGGTTGGCAAGTTGCACTCTAACAAGGGGTACTTAAGCTGCTGGAAACCCAAGTTAAAACTTCTCAAGTAATGTACTGTCCGAAAAGTGGCTTTAAAGGGAGCCCTTTTTGAAGTTGGGATGCTCCGATACTTATACTTTTATATAAATCATATAAGCTTATTTACTTCAGCAATATTGCAGACGAAAGAAAACGTTGAAAACTTACAAACTGAGTTTCAGTTGCATTGTGCAGGATTGTATTTAAATGCAATGATAGTACATGGGATATGCTTGTGCATTTCAATAGCATCCTATAGGTTTTAGGGAATATGAAGGGAATATGAGCTACGGTGCTTGCTCTTAAGCCGTGCAGCATTTCTTTTTGGCCACCCTCAGGGCTTAGCCAACAAATGGTTTTCTTAAATTGTTTGCCATTTTCCATTTTTGGTCCTCCCAGTGCAGTTGTTATTGTAACTCTTAGTGCGGCCGTTGAAAGCTTCCTTAAATAAATTTTTTGCAGTTTACAGTTTCCGCATTTTGGTGTTGAAGACGAGCCTCGGCCGAACAGAATAACAAGATGATGGCCAAAAAAGAAGCATCCGCCTGTTGTCCTGGCCAAAGCCAATCATCAGCTGGCTTGCCTATTTGAGCGCCCTAGTAGAAAGCCCCAGACCCCAAGCTTCCGGCTCTCGTTCGGTTTAACAATGTTAATAATCTTATTTTGTGCCTCAATGGACTTTTCCGTTCCTTTCTCCCTGGCCCATGGCCCTTTGTTCGCAGACGAGGGCAAAAAGCCCAGCAAGACCAAAATATGCATGGCATTTTATTGCATACCTTAAATGCAATTTTTGTAGCACAATTTTTGGCGCTGCTTTTTGGTAACTTGCCTGAGCGGGAAAAAAACTTATCCACTGATTTTTGTGCCCTTCTGCTGGCCAATTTTTTCGCTTCCACTGCGACTGCCATTGGCCCAAAGAGCAGCCTTTGCCATTTTTATCATTCCGCGCAAAGTTGCAGCAGCATTTGTCCTTTGCCATTCCCAGTTGCCCCAGTCGAAAGGCTCTGAGCCTTTTGCAATGCCATTGGACCGCATTTTGCGCTTGGAAATAAAAGCCAGTTAACGGCAATCGCTTTAAATGACTTCTTGTT